TTAGCGATCATTCAAATTTACTGGGGGGCTATATATGACCCAGATTCTAAGTTCCGACCATCACCCCTCCACACAGTCATGTGACTGAACTTCAGGTGCTTGGCAACCAGGCCATATTTACAGCCATTTACAGCATCCCGCAGTCACACAACTGCATTTTATGGCACTTTCGGGTTTTGGCAAAACCACACTCGTAGCCCAGCATTGATTTGCTTAATTACCATGATGTTTGCTTAACAGCCTCTGCAAAAGAAGTTGTAAAATTTTAAAAATTTACAACCAACACGATTTACAACCATGGTGGGCAGGCTCCATTATGGTCATAAGTCAAGAACTATCTGTACTACAAAAGGACTAGATTTAGTTATCTAGTAAACTTTTTATTCATGGCATTATCCTTGGCAGATATACAAACAATGGAACATGGAGAAGACAGAACATGGAATATTTGGAACATGAATCCAAGCCAATCTGTAGAATTCTATTTGACTGCTATCCAGGCCTCCTTTTGAAACCTAGTAGAACATTCTCTCCTAGATCAATTCTAATGGGAAGCATTGATGTTGTATTTGAGACTAGCTGCAGCATCTATAGCAGGGGTGTCAAACTCGCAACGTCACGTGACGTGTCGCAACATATCGCGACTTTTTTGCCATTGCCAGCAATGGGGTGGGCGCAGTTTCGCTATGATGCATCCAGCCCATGGGCCAGCAGTTTGACACCCCTGATCTAAAGTATCTGCAACACCTAAGTAGAAGAGTTGGTGAGGCTGGTCATCCAACATGTGTTTTCAGTTACAATCCTCATGATTTTCAGTCAGTGTGACTCATGCTAGGATTTGTACTTCAACCTATCTGAATCTGGCATCAAACTAGGAAAAATATTATTAAAATGTGGACAAGACGGCAGGCTTTCATTTTCTAGGAACAGGCTGAGCTAATATACTAGGCATAGTTGGGAAAACAATTCTTTTTCTCAGTCAATACCTGAAAATCAACAACAGATGCCAAGAATATGTCCTCCCTCATAAGCTTCCAGGTACATTTAAATAGTATTTCATTGAATTCAGGATTATGTAATGCAACTGTAGAGACATAGTGACTTCATAAATAACTCATGGTAATACAAATCATTTTTAAATTGTGCATTAATGCGAGTAAAAAGCTGGCAGTGGAGGAAACCCATCAGATCCCTACACTAGGTGTCTTAGTCTAGATTTTGATTGCCAGCAAGACAAAAGTTGAAAAGGAGAATAGACAGAGGAGAAATGGCCAAACTCAAGATAGTGAGATACAATTTTTTTCCACAGTTTATTGTAGTTGTTTTGATGTATGTCTTTACTGAATCTTGTCAAGTAAAGTCCTAAATATTTCATTGGATCCTTTGTTATCTGGCAGTCAGATTGAAGAAAATTTCTTCCTCAGAAGTTAAGTGCCTTGCTATTACTTTGCTTTCTTTTCATTGATTTTATAGCTGAAAAAGCAACCAAAATCTTTATTTTCATCAACTACATGGAAAAGATATTTGAAAGATAAAATTAATCTACCCAAACAATATCATGGGCTTACTAGATATTCAGCTGGAATTGGAAAGTATAAGGAAGTATAAATAGTATTTTTATATAATAAAACCTAACATAAAAAAGGCAGACAATTAATGGTAAACATGGTTGAAATACTATACCTCCAGAAAATGGGAACTGTATTCCTCCAGGCCCGAAGGCCCAGAGTGAAGATCCAGTTATTAACCATCTTCCTAAAGACCTAGAGGGTGAAAGATATGCTGTATATCAAAAAGAAGTCTGATCCAAAGGCCAAAGCCACCATGGAAAATACATACTTCCTAAGTTTTAAGAATAACACTGTTTCAAGGACGGGACCCAGAGTATTCCTTTCTTATTGGGGCATTTGAGGCAAGCAAATCTTAAGTATATGTCTATATTTGAAAATAAATACCAAACTCCCACAAGAGGGAGCCCTGTTTTATCTTCCTTGTTAATTCATATTTGCAAAGATTAAATTGACCATTTCTAAAATAAGAATGAGAAACTGAAATCCTAAAACCCTTTGGATTGTTAAATAGGTTTAATTTTCTCTCTTCTGGGCCTTGTTCTTTTTGGATCCCGGTATCGTTGCTGTTTCTTAAGTTGCTGAAAAGATGCTCAGAAGTAGACATGGGTAATGAATGATATTGCAGGCCCTTGGCTCAAGCATATATATTTTCCCAGGATCCTACAGCTATTCCGCAGACCCAGAAAAAGATACAGCTTATTGAAGGAGATGTCAACATACGTAATGTGTACAGCCACATAGCATAGTACACCCCTACTTTGCAAGATGGAAATGTTGACCAATATTATAGGGTGAGCACATACTGGGAAAGTAGACACTGTTTATATAGCTCTTAAAAATACTATTTCAACAGATTGTAAATTTCCATTAATCCAGTCTGCCAAGATATCACCTAGCTGATCAATAACAAGAAAATCTTGCTCAACCACATTTTATAAGAGGAGCTTGTCTCATCCTTCAGTAATAGCACGGCAGGTGATGCTAAAAGAAAGTAACAATAAATGAATATTTATGGAAAGATGTCTGAGTTTGTAAGCTCAGTAGAGTCACTATACTAGCATCCTTCTGACACTCAGTTTTTACTTGAACAAATGTATTGAGAATTTTAAAATTAATGAACCAAATTTATCCTAGCTAAATAAACACAACAAGAAGTGAGAGATGAAGCAAGATGGTGATCTATAGCAGTTAACCTCAGTGCACCCCAAGAAGTACTGGTAAAATTTATCTTGATTAAATAATCAATCCACAGAATTGACTTGACAAATTCTGGGAGTGGAAGTCCACACATCTTAGTTACTAAGATTGAGGAACTGTGCAAAAGAATATCCTTGACATTATAATGGGATGGAGTTTTTAAAAAGCATTGTGATTATGAATAATATTGCTTTACCTTCCAAATAAAGTGTACAAGGCTTCCAGTTCTACATAAATATGAACAAAATAATTTAAAACATTAGCATAACTAATTGGGACCATCATAACATTTACCATAGCAATAATAAAATAAGATTTTTACTAAAGTGATTCAAAAGGTTAAACTGAAATTATTTATCTTGGTGCCTTTTCTGAAAGCACGGGGTGGAGAATCGATGCAGTACAAAACAGAACACACTTTATTATTCGAATATGATACCTTAGTTAACTTATGTCATTGATTTAGTAAACCGCAATGGCCGTAAGTTGCTTGGATCACCACTTTGTCTCAAGTTCTAAGCCCCCCAAAATGGGTTGTTTTGTATTTAATTTTATAGGATGCAGTAATCAGTTGTTATAAGACCCAATATTTATTTTGATATCAGGCCCAACACAGTGCAAATATAATACAGAGTTGTATGATTCATCATTCACTAATGTTACAGACTTTCATCAGTAGATGTCTGTTCTACATCTTATTGTTGGATTAATTATGAAGATGAAGCTTAATAACATCTTTGTAGTTCATACAGATGAATTAAATCTTTCATGTATTGCGAAACAAAAAGGGTAACCTACAGTAGCTTCTACCAAAAGGCCTTCGCTTTCACATACAGTAGCTGACTGATGTACCAGTTTAAAAGCAGCAGATGAGATGGCTGCATTATGGCATGTTTGAATGGCATATCTTACTCTGTACTTTCTGACCAATTGCGACTGCAGAGGCACAAGGCAAAACAGCCACCGAACTAGGTTGGTTTCCAAAGCAGCACCGACCTCCAAATGCTTCACTCTACCTAACTGTAGGACTGGCTACCAGCACTTCTGACAAATCCAGGTTTGAGAAAAATGATTCTTTACATGTTTACTTTCTGTCACACCCACTCTGCCTTCCGAAAGGTAAACTGGCATAACTCTAAACCTAACTCCTGCCAACTTCATGAAGTATCCAAATAAGTTTTCTTGGCAACTCCACAAGAAAAATGGGAGGGGAGAAATGCTATTTATGCCATGTGGGGGTTCATGAATGAAAGGCAGGAGATTTTTATTTTCGTATTTCCTAAAGAGCATACAGACCTAGGAGCGGGTCTACCATTTGAGCATCACCCAGATCTGATCCTACTGAACTGTCAAGATAAGCCATGCCCAAGTAGGCATCGCCATCCACTGAGACCTCGCACTTTTCCCACGTTCACAAATCAAGGTAGACAGCGAGGTGGCCATCTCGGAACGTTGCCGAAAAGCTTGCCCTTTCTTTTCCCGGATGTTCCTTCGACAATTCGGTCTAGACGTCTAGATTCTAGGCTAAAACCCTACAATTCCCAAGGGAACCACTCGGGATTAACACACTTTATTATTCGAATGTGATACATTAGGTAATTTAAATCAGTTTAGCTCCAGGGATCAGCCAAGTTCGACCTTTCACCCTGCCTATGACTTTTGTCCCGAACTACTTAAGCTCGCTTATCTAGGAACACCCTTTCGAGGAAGGCGCTAGAGTCGTTTTCCCCCGGGTGGGATCCAGTGGTCGAGTTGGGGGAAGAAGAAAGCGACCCCAGCTATTATTGGTGATCCCACCCTTCGGCCAATCCCCAAAGGGATGGCGTCCGAGAACGTCTGAACTACCCGCCGCGACCGGCCAGGCATCGCAGAGGAGCGTGCGGTCGTGGGGCAGGGCTGCTTGGGCGACTTGGGTGTACGTGAGAGAGCGGCCGGGAGGCAAACGGAGCTCCTGTCAAGACGGAGGAGAGGCGGCTAGGAAGGTCCCCGCCCCACACACTCCCGCAGTCTTAGCCGCTGGGCGCTGCTACCCGCTGCTTCTCCCTTACGCTCGCCGCGCTTCCTTCTCCCTCCTCGGTAGTCGCTGCGCAAGGCAGGCGCGCCCAGGCCCTGCCCCCTTAGCGTAAGGCAAGGAAGGGCGGGGGCCGGCGGGAGGCTTCGCCGCAGCGGCGAGCGGAGAAGCGGCGGCGAGAGCGGCTGCAGCACCGATGGCTCCTGCGGGCGGTAGCGGCAGCTCAGCGACGGGGAAGATGGCGCCGTCGCACGTCCTCAAGTGCTGCCAGAGAGTGCTGGCTTGGGTGCCCGTGGTCTTCATCGCCCTGGTCGTGGCCTGGTCCTATTACGCCTACGTGGTGGAGCTGTGTGTGTGTAAGTAAGCCGTCGAGGTTTCGCTAGCGCCCTGCCGGGGAGATTCCAGCTTCCCAGGAGGCGGAGGAAGCTGCCCCATAACCGGGGAGAGCGCACTTTCGCTGGGTTGCTTTCAAAAGGCGGGGTCCGCGGGAAGGGAGCGGTGGTCTCCTTCTCCAAATTTACTTTTGTTGGTTTTCCGGCTTCTTGGCTTCCTCCTTCTTGCGCAAAAGTCCAGGGCTGATTCATTCTCCAAGGTTTGGGGAGAACCTGTTGCCTGCCGCCTGACTTTCTCTCAGCCCCAAGGAGTATGCAATGGCAAACCACTTTTGGAAAAAGCTTGCCAAAAATACTGCAGACTTGTTGAGGCAGTCTGCGAGAATTGGACACGGTTGAACGGGAAGGAAGGGGGGAAACCTCGTGTTTAAGACTGCTCCTGGGCGTTTGCCTTAATCTGGGAGAATTAGCAATCCATCCTCGTGTTGTCAAATCCGGACAGAGTCTCTTTTGAATCCTTCATGTGGATCAGGGCTTGCGGTGTAAGGAGAGGAATTGAAATGAGACAAGTCACCCTTTGATTAAGTACAAACAGGGTGTTGTAAGTAAGAGCAAAATGCCTCTTATGTCGCCTTATCTAGAAGTACATCTTTCTTTTCTAGTGGGGTTTATTCCAAGGAAAGTGTTTGTGGCGTTGCCAAGTGTTTGTTTTCTCTGAATCATGGGCATTCAATCCTTTTAGGGTTCTTTTTTCATCCTGAGATCGAGGATGCGGATTGATAACAGTGGTGTGCTGTTGTGTTGCAGTTCATTTTGGGACTGTGTTAAAATCCTTGAACAGTCACTACTTTTTTTTGTTTTTGTTTTAAAAAAATATGTACTCCATATTTAATGTCTTGTATTCCTGATGCAACTTTAAGTCTACATTCAGAAATGAGGAAAATAATGTGAAAGTCCACTCTGTAGTTGATTCTTTACACTCTTGTTGTATGAATTATGAGCCTGCCACTCAGATATGAGAATATAAATGTTTTGACTAATGATAAAATGTACTGGCAAGACCTTTAAATAGTCAAAATTTGAGCCCCAAAAGGTGATTGGGAAGAGAAATAATTTAGTGCAGTGTTTCTCAATCTTCGCAACTTTAAAACAAATGGACTACAACTCCCAGAATTCCCTGAGAAACACTGCTTTAGTGTATCTGTACAGTAATGCTTCCCTGTGTTTCTTTGGATATTGCTCATTAAATTGTAACACAGAACTGGTTCCTCTCATTTTGGTCTAGAAGAGTTATCTTTAATTAATCCTTCATTTGTTAAAAGGTTTAGGGCCCATTCCAAATAAAATTAAAAATACAAAAATAGTTTGAGTAGATAGTAGATTTGATTTGTATGGTAAGGCAAATGTAGGTGAAATCCTTAATTTCTACTTTTTATGAAGTAATTAAAAGTGACTGCTGAAGATCATAACAATGAAAACTGTAATGCATGCATATCAACTTGGGGGGGAAATCCAACTGGGTTCAATAAATCCTATTTCTAAGAAAGTAAATATGGATTGCAGATTTAGTTATATTTATTCACTTAACCAGAGCAATTCAAAAAAATGAAAGGATAGTATTAACTAGTTTCACAGCCCTTAATCAAATATCAGTTAATCATAACTAACCAATAGCACACTGTAACTCCATTCTTAACTGAAGGTGACATAGGACTATAGCACTTATTTTTAGAAAATCAGAGGTAGATTTTTTTAAAAATTGATCTATATTTTACTAAAACTATCTGATTAGAACGTTCATGAGCAAAACAGTACATCATTTTTCAACCAAGGTACCTCAAAGACACTAAGTTTCAGAATGCGGGACCGAGTTCCTCCTTAAGAATGAAGTTTGGAGAGGTGGCTGCTTCAGTTGCGGTCACTTGATAGATATTTCCAACATTCCCTGACAGCTTCCCACATGTCAATGGGGAATCCTGCAGGAAGCGCAAACTCAGTTGTAATTGCCCACACTCCATAAGCAAAATCTTTATTGGTAAGAAGTTTCCTCAGAGTGAAGTCAATGGGGAAGCCGGTAGGACTCCCTCACACATGCAACCTCCCTAGCCCTCTGTACTTGTGCCTGTCCGTTCATTTGTGCACACCAGGGAGCACTCTTTCTGACCCATTCTGCACTTCTGTGCACCCTCCCCAATCCTTATTGCATGTCTTGCACATCTCCACTTGCCCTTCTCCACCCACACTGCAGCTCTTGCACACTTCTTGCACTCTTTTCCACCCATGCTTCAGCCTTCCATTCTCTCCTCAATCTGTGCAGCACCTCTCACACACCCCAGTCCACCTTCCAGACCCATGCTGTACTCCTATGGGCCTCTACAACTCATGCTGCATCTGTTATGCACACTTGCACACCCTTCCTGACCTGCACCATGCCCTCCCCAATCAAAGCCTGGACCTTTCACACACCCTCATGCACACTTCTCAACCCATGTAGTGTGTATTATTTTTTATTAAGTCAGTGAGGAAGCTGATATGAGGTTTAGACTGGATGGATGGATGGATGGATGAATGGATGGAAGGAAGGAAGGAAGGAAGGAAGGAAGGAAGGAAGGAAGGAAGGATGCTTCTTGCTGGTTTTCCACTAGGAACAGAGAAGTAGACAGAAACCTGGAAACTACTCCCGCTCCCACTGATTTTTTTTGCCCACTATGGTCATTCTGTTTCTCTGTTTAGGTAAAGAAATACCTCTGCAACAATGACCCAACAGGTTACGGATTGCCTAGTAGGTACTAAAACTTACTGTTCCTAAGCAAAGCTGTAGTTCCTTGTAGTTTCAGTATAAATCTTGAAATAGTTCAAAGGTTTGTCTCATTTTGAATGCCATTAATGGTTAGTATCTAAATACCATCTCTTAGCACAGTGGTTCTCAACCTGTGGGTCGGGACCCCATTTGGGGTCGATCAACCATTTCATGGGGGTCGCCAAGCAAGGCTGTCCGCCATTTTTTTTGTCCTTTTTTTTTTGTCCGCCATTTTTCCCCCTTTTCCAGCGGGTGCCTTACCTCCCTTGGGCTGGGCCAGCTGGTGGTCGGCCTGCTCCGTCTCTGCCGCTTGCCAGCTACGCCTCGGCCGGCGCAGGGGGCGGAACCACACATGCGCGGCGCTCCCAGGCAGGGAAAGTCCTCGACTTACGACCGGTTGGGTAGTCCTCGACTTACGACCGGTTTAGTCCTCGACTTACGACCAGTTTAGTCCTCGACTTACGACCGGTTGGGGTCGCGGCATTAAAAAGGTTGAGAACCACTGTCTTAGCACCAATTCTTCAGCTCTGCAAAATGATTCTAACTTCAAATGTAGTAGCTCTACATAGTTATCCAAAAGGGAAATTGTTCTAAACACAGGGGATAGGTCTTAAATAACGGCTTCTTGACTTATTCTTCCATGTTTTGATCTGTCAGTTTTGGGTAGAAATGTTTCACATCCAAGGTGTACATGTTCTAGATCTATAATTTGTATCCTTTTGCTGAAAACATTAGAAAGAAATAATGCTTTGGTTCTGCAAGGTTACAGATTGCATATAGAATTTGTTCATGCAGCTTTCAATATAACGTATGTGGCTAGATGAAAATGTTGAAGCTGACAGTAGAGGAGGATTCTCCCTATGTTCAACCTTGACGCATTGATGCTGTTTTTTTCAGTGTCTTCCTCATGCATTGAGCATTCTGTGATTTTAACAACTGAACTGGGCTAGTATGCTCTGGACTTTAAAGCATGAATATACCCCTGAAGTCACCAGGACTCAGGCTTTTATAAAAGTGACTTTCTCTTGCATGATGATTAATTTACAGTTGTAGCAATTTACATATACCAGGTAGCTTCCTAGAAGAATATACAGTAAAGGGTTTTGATGAGTATGCAGATGTCTTCTAATTATGTGCTAATATTTATAACACTTTCAGGAATCTCTTGGCAGAGTTCCTGAAGTATTGATTTAGGTACATTTTAAAGAATGATCTGATTCTTCACATCAATGCACAGAAATCAATAGCTTGGAATAACTTTCATATTTTCTTTCTTTTTTACTTTTTTCATACATAGATTCTGTATGCAGAAAACTCTGAACAATTGTTATATAAGCCATGTTCAGACACAGTGGCCTCAAACCATATGTGATCTAACATGTTTCTCAGTTTCTGCAAACATTTTACGGTTCTTCAAAATGGTTTTCTGATATCATCTAAAATAGGAATATGTAAATTAAAGTCTATATAGAAACCAAAGTATTAAAGCAGGATCTGATCCTAGATTTGAGATTTCGTGGATGATTAAATCTAGCTTGTAATATATTACTTGTGCATACCCAGTTCCAATTAGTTTGTAATAGGTATATGGTAAGATGTGGTTCCATTCTTGGCAGTATAAATTTAATAAAAATGTATTCCATTAACCTCAGGAAACTAGCATATAGTTGGTCAAGACTGATTGACCTGAATGTTACTGAAAAGACTTCAAACTGGCCTGAATTTGATAAGAAGAGTCCACAGTAGATACTATTTTTATTTATCCACAATTTGATTGCAAATTCTACAATAGGTGCATAAGATTTTAATCTTATTATTACATAGAAAGCATTGTCTACACTTAGGGTACTAGAGAAGACTTCTTAAGTAAAACTACCCTTATCCTTGCCCTCATGGGGTTTTTTGGATTACATTTTGCGCTAAGGAAGACAACAGAAAGAGATATCATATGAATAGCCCTGGATAAATGTGAGTAACCAATATTAAATTTTGTTGCAATAAGCGGAAGGAAGGTACAGTAGTATAAAATATATGAGTGGAAATTAATATTTGACGTAATCATTTTTACTATATGTACAAAAGCCTTCTCCAGTCTAGTGCTTCAAAATTTGCTGAGACAACTCTCAAAATTCACATGCCGAATACCTACCTATTCGAGGAGTCATCCTCTTAGGAAATTTGTAATGCCCTTATTTTTACAATGTAAAGATTGTAGCTTACATTG